ATTTGATTCCCAGCACAAAGAAAAACAAAGATACCTTCTGATTGTGTGTTTTGTCACCATATTCATTTTATGATTCATGACACTTTGACAGCACAGATACATCAAAATGGAGTTGGGTGTGGTAATGCACACCTGTAATCCCAGCTCGCTACCCCAGAGAATGAGGTTCAAGATCAACACAGCGAGATCTCCAGTCAGAAGAAGGAGGAGGAGGAAGAAGAGAAAGGAAAAGAAACACCTTTAATAGGTGTAAGGTCCTTGCTTAGCATCTGGGTGGCCATCCTAAGTAACAGCCCCCATTTTCCTGCCCAAGGGAATATTATCACTCCCTCAAACCAACCTCACCCTTAATCACCCACATTCGGACCCACCTGGCTCTAATGCCTGAGCCTCTCTCATAAAAGTCCCAGAACTCGAAGCTGGGGTGTGACTCAGCAGTAGAGGGTTCGCATAGCCCATGCAGAACGCTGGGCTGGCTCCTCAGCACCACATAAAAATAAAATAAAGGCATTGGATCCAAGTACAACTAGAGACAAAATATTTTTAAAAAAAAAATCACAGAACTCAAGCTTGTGTTGCCTGTCTCTACTATGGAGGGATGTTGCTTTTATTTTCAGCTCTGACAAATGAACTTTCTCATGTGTATCTCTGGCTGGTCTCCGTGTTTCATTACTTGCTTGCTGGTTTCCCGCTTTCTCCCTTTCCTTTCAATAGGAAAGTCTAGATGTTTAAATATGTGTCAGAACTTTTAAAGATATCTACATGGTGAAAAATAACTCTGAAGTAAGAAGAGTAATGTTGCAAAATCTTGGTCCCGGTCTCCAATGCCAATTCAATAACCAGGACACGGTTTTGAGTAAAAGGAAAAAGAAAGTTTATTGTTTTACAGGAGACTTCTGTCCCAGAAGCTGTGATTCTGCCCAACAGCAGGAACAGAGATGATTCAAAGGCTACATTCTACTTGTTCTCTGTTGGAGTTGTAATTCACTCGTGAATTTGGGAGATAATCATTTCTGAGATCTTCTGGTGCCACCCCAAAGTATGAATTCCTTAGTTCCCATGGTGGGTGTGTACTCAAGGACAGATAACTCTGCCTTAGGTTGAGGAAGAAAGGTAATCCTGTTTCCCCTGAGATTAGAGAAGGGGAGACATAAGGCAGGAGCAAGGAGAAAGGAGGAGAAAGAAACATATCCATTTAAAAAAATAAGTCATAGTGGCAAAGCAACAAGGGCTATATTCAAAGCATAAAGTGGACCACTGTTACATTCCCTCATTGTCCATTTCTACATTCCATTTCTATGGAAAAAATGGGCAACAATATCTCCAAACTGCTTCCTGCTGAAAGGAGGCGAAGTTGGGGGAACCCAAAATTGTTTTCTATCAGGTGGGGCATGGACAGTTAAGGGTATTCAGCATCAGATCCATCCAGAGGTTCACAGTGGCAAATGGCAGGTGACTGACCAGGCATATAATAGGGCAGGAATCTTGCTAAGACAACAATAGATAGGACAGTAAAAGTCAAAAAAATTGACTTTTTGGGGGGGGGCTGGGAATGTGGCTCAAGCGGTAGCGCGCTCGCCTGGCATGCATGCGGCCCGGTTCGATCCTCAGCACCACATACCAACAAAGATGTTGTGTCCGCCAACTAAAAAATAAATATTAAAAATTCTCTCTTTCTCTCTCTCCTCTCTCACTCTCTCTTAAAAAAAAAAAAGAAAGAA